ATGTCCGGTATATCACGGCGGACACAAGGGCCTTGCCGGTCTTGGTGTCCGATCACCTGGCGGACATACCAAGTCGTCGAAGTGTCACACCCAGTAGTCCTTGTACTAGGTTGAGTGGTGTCTCTTATGCTTCTCAGTCAACTGTCAGCTCGTCTCGTGTATATCCAGGTATATCCTCAGCAACGGTGAATGAAATGCAAGCTTTGGAAACAGTGGTGGATCTTAGGAAGACTGAAATACAATATCCCGGAGTAATCATGTCACGATCTACTCGTTGCAGCGTTGGGCGTGTGCCGGTTTCGAGGTTGGATCCGTTTGGCGGACACACCGGGGGGCGCCCGAGCATAGGTCACTTATGCGGACATAAGCAGCCCAATTTGGGCTGACCGGATCCTAGAGGCGGACATATCCGGTCCAAATGTGTGAGGCCATAAGGGCCGAAAATCGGGCACTTAGGATCAAACATCAGTACCCATATGCCGGGGTCCTGTGACAGTGCGCCTCCCTGCGTGCAGCACACATTTCTGTCGCAAAGTTATGGCTGAGCGCTTGACTTTCGGGCTTAGGTCAGTAACATCTCTGAGAGAAATGTGGTAGTGCATGTTGCATTGTCCATATGTTACGGCTTGCTCCGAGTCCTTTATGGAGCAACATAAAAACAAGAGTTCACTTATTGAACATACTTTTCCGAGATTCATGAATAAGACCACATGCCCACCATGTTCCCTGAGTGTTCTAAATCATAATTATGTGCATAAATCGAGTGCAGCGCTCAAAACGTTGCTACTACCTCGGAGCACACAAGGACAAATAACTCACCGCGACATTCAGGATTGCGCCTCCCCGCACAAGCTTAAGGGCCTCAATCAGCAGAATGATGAGATGCGAGCTCGCGGTCGCATACGACGATGCCGTACAACCATTGCAAGTGCCTGGTCGGAGAATATGGAATCGAAAACATGTTCATTTAAGAACATAAGAAATACAAGAAACTGCAAAGAAAACAGAAGGCAAACTACTAAGGCAACGATTCCGAATATGCTCCACATATCCCATCTACATAGTTCTCCCGCGGTGAGGGAATTTATAGAAACGGATACTGCAGTGACCACGAGGACGCAGTTTACCGGTCTTATGCCCGATGTTGGAATCTAAATACCTATTCCGATGGGCTTTATTCGGTTGGGATCAACGGACCCCAGACCTGATCTCTGTTCTACGAGCTCATCCAGAGCGTCTATGTTCAATCCCTGACTAGTATGACAGTCCAGAAGTTGCAAGGGAACTCGGATGAAGAAGCGGTCGCCAGTGGTGAAGATGACATCTACAATGCCCGTCAGTGTGTGACCGTCCACTAAAGCAACCCGAGTCGACGTCCTCGCGGCATGCGTACACGATGTGACGCACTCAACTACAACACCGAGCAGCTGTCATTCAGTGTCTCAAAGTCATGAAGAAAAGGGAAACGCTAAGTACCTACCCGAGTGAGATCTAGAGACGTACCTTCCTGAACTTCGACATTGGACCTGTACAGTGTATCTCTCGCCTGACTCGAAATAGCCAGTCATCAAGCGGTCAGAAAGACTTATTACTAATCGTTCTCCTTGAAAGTGCAAAGGGCCTGGCATGGAGACAACTTGGGGGGAGGGGGACTGAATCACATGAGCTGGCCTAAACGATGCAACACCGGCACCATCAGCCGATTCTAGCCTCAGGAGGGCTGACTATTAGTATGTCGGTATCTGAGCCTGCATGTGAGTCTCTGGACTATGCATACGAAGTTGGATGATCCAGACCTTTAGCACAAATCTCCGATGGTTGGAGTACCCTCCAACTACACCCGGATGGTAATGGAACGGCACCAGGCTTTCCCCCGTGCTAGATTTCTCGCGTACACGTACCATGGAGAATGAGCCTCGCACTGGCAGGATGTGGTATTCGTCAGGCCAATCAGTCGGGACACAGAATTCAGTCCGCGGACACAGGGACTTCAAGCAGGCCAACTTACACAAACTAGGCTGCTCGAAGCTGGAGTGCGCCTGGAAATCGGACACAAGTAGCGAACAGCGCCTTCGGTTCAGACCAGGTTCAGACAGAGAAGGGAGAGCCGAGCATCTCATTCAGCGAAGCTTAGGGGGTGTCGAGGCTTGGTGGACGTAATGTCTCGTCCACCCGAGGAGCTGTCATATAAGGGCACCGCTTCCAGTAGGCCTAGGGAGGCACAGGTGCTGGAAAGGGACACCTAGCAGCAGAACATAACTCGAGCGGTTCGAGATGGATCGTTCACGGGAGACGACGGGACGATATTGACGAGCGCGTCGCATATTGCCGCGATACCCTAACACTCTCCGTTCCTTTTGCGTACTGACTTGCCGGTCGTGTTATCGGCACACAAAGCTGCGCAAGAGCGGGACCTACCGACGTTTATTCCAGGTCGCCGAATTCCCAATTGACGTACTTACCTCCTGGTGCCCTCATTACTCACCGGACAACATATGGTCTGACAGTGGCTCGAATACCGTAACGGCTTTACCTCCCAGGGTGCTTCCCGTCATGAACAACAGTGCATCGCATGGCTGGCCTGGGCCGCATGGAGACAGTCATGTAAGGGGAGAATCCGTGCCTCGCGCCGTTTACACGACGCGTGCAGGAGGTGCTGTTCATTCCGTTTTTACATCACTATCTCTATTCACGCAGATCCCTCCAACTGCAGGCTCAGCGCTGAATACCACCGGTTCACTCAGGAGAACCACTTCTCGTCTCTTCGGTTCTCTCCTCCATGAACTTCGATGGCGCCAGACCGAGACCACCAGCAGCTGCCTGTAGTCCACATATTACTCCGGTTCTTACAGCTCACGCTGTTTCGAGTTCTTTGATGTCCGGGGTCTGAAGGGTCGAGTTCGCGCTGGAAGTGAAGCTCCTTTCACGGGTTTTCCCCGGATGTCAAGTCAATAATCCCATCTTCCAACGGTAGGGATCCTGGCATCGTACGAGTCAGCATTCGGTTCGTCCCTTGCGAGTGGTCTTCTTCAAGACTGAGGGCTCTAACTATCACGTGCGTATGAACCGATGCCAGATACTGGAGGGAATTTTGCACTGATGGGACCGCACCCACTTAGCCTTTACCATCCCGGTACTCACGAGCCTGTTTATGGAGCCGCACCAGCGGCGACATTCAGTCACTTTGCTGCTCATGTGTTTCTCCCGCGAAGTCGACACCAGTTCAATCATTTCGTTTCCAGAATACTTACAAAGGGTTCCTAGTAGGTGAGAACCCGTTTGCACTAAGCATTTGTGAGGATGCCTCACAATGCTCTTGCTTTATTCCAGAAGGAGAGCTCCTCGCGGACGGACAGCTATTGATAATTGTTGATTCTTCTGCGCGTATTAGGAATCTCTAAATTGTCAAGCCCATTCTCCGGAGTAGCTTTCCAGGCTCCATCTTCTCGAGCTCGAGCTCCGACGCTTTGGCTCTGTAGCACTTCTGCATACGAATGCAGGTTGCGTGCGCAGATTTCTTTCATGATGGCTCAGCGATCTTACTCGATGTCTGGGTGGCTAGCGCATGACTGCCCTGTTTTTCGCGCTATGCCATTCGTGCATGCCCTCACTTCTGATTGGCGTAAACGAGGCAGCTTTCCATCGATAACGGAACCTTATACACAGGGCTGGCTCGTCATGAGGACCCAGTCCAAGTCCTGGTCTATCGCTCAGTAGGGTGGATTACTTGGGTCGGTTGAATATTATGGCACGGTCCTGTATACTCATGCACCTGTGAGCGAAGGATGATCTTCCTGCTCGGAAAGTAGATATAGGGGACTGATCTCCCTCAGCGAAGCATTGGCTGCTCTGGCTCTAATGCCCCGCGCTCGAAGGGATTTCGAAGATAATGGGTGATTCTTTGAATGCAAATGCGTATGGCTTGTCTGGGATCTAATGTTCTGTCTGGGCGAAGTGCTTAGAAACTCCTCTTTCTGGTGTAATAAGAACGGCGAAACTGCGCCTCTGTCCGCCTCTGCTCCCCTAGTTGTCGGTACTACACATTGCAGCAGGAAAAGTCACAGTTGTTGTGGCCACCGCCACTTATAGTTGAGTCATGCACTGTAATGCAGCATTTCAACTCAAATCCTCGGATTCGAGAAGCATCGAGGTCGCCCCGCTAGGTTCACGGAAACAACCGGACTCACGATCATACATAAATACTCCTCGTTTATTAATAGTCTTCATTGCATTGAGCCATCGTTCGGACGGTCTTGCTCGTGAACTCGCTGAAGCACTACCCACTTCATGGCGCGCTGCAGTCACAAGGGCTGTGGTCAGGAGTTTGACCCAAAGACTAACACCGAGAAAAGCTGCACGTATCATGCTGGTGGTCCGGTGAGCTGATCTGCTTGGGAGATCCTATCGTGCGGCGAGGACCTACTACAGAGCGTACGCCAGGTCTTCCACGAAGGTTTGAAGTCATGGTCCTGCTGCTCTGATGTGAACAAGCCCGTATTGGATTTTGACGAGTTTATGAGCATTCCAGTACGTACGACACCCTTAAAATTGTGTGATACCACACATTCAAGTGCATATGCAGGGATGTACAATCGGAAAGCACGACGAAGCGCCTGCCAAACCACCGTCGCCACCGCCAAAGCCTGCCCAGAATCCTGCAAGTTTGAGCGTGACGACGTCCAATGATGGCACAGAGGTCTATGCATCAGGCCCAGCTGCTCCCAGCGCGCCTGAGCCACTTGGAACTACGTCAGTATTCTCGACGCCACCTGCACCGGTCCATGTCGAAGAAGAGGACGATCTAGGTGCTCAAGTGAAGCCTGGGACGAAGTGCCGCCACAATGGCTGCTCCGTTCTGTTCGTGAGCGACGAAGTAAACCGCAAGGAAGGCGGTGAAGCCAGTGAATGCACTTATCATCCCTTGCCTGTAAGTGTCAGCGTAAAACTCATCGGCACACCTGTTGCGCTGACATCCTAATCGACGACTAGCCCATTTTTAGGGAGGGGAGTAAAGCAAGTTCTTCCGCTCATTTGTCACAGCGGGCACTCCTGACACAGCCTGCCTACACAGGGATATCTATGTTGCAAGCGTAGGGTACTCGAGTTCGATGAGTTCCTCAAAATCGAAGGGTGCAAGAAAGGCCGTCATGTATTCGTGGCGAAAGCTAAACCGCAAGAAGTGCGTTATCCAGAAACATGTAGCTCCGCTGACTCCTGAATACGCCGCGTACAGGGCGAGCAATTCACCGAATGCCGCATCGACCATTTTCAGACTCCGTCGGAAGTGCACGTTTCTGTGTACGGCAAGCAGGCGGATAAGGACCGGAGCAAGATCGAGTTTGAGGAGACAAAGGTGAGATATTGCACTTCTGTATGCAGCAAGACCTCTGACGGGTTGATGCAATGGCAAGCTTCATATCGATATATTCCTGCCTGGTCCAAAGCGATTCCGAAAGTCTATAGAGCTTTTCGGCCCAATTGATCCAGATAACTCTAGTTACAAGTTTTTCGGGACCAAGGTAGGTGAGCCGTTTTCTGTCAAAAACGGCAGCCAAAATTCCCATTAGGTGGATATCCTGCTTAAGAAGCAAGACACACGGAGTTGGACCATCCTTGAGAAGCCCCAAAGGGATCTTGGCCCCGTCAGTCTCACATTCGGTGTGGGCGGCAGGACTGGCACAATCGGCGGGAAAGATATTATTCTAGACGAGTCTAATAAGAGTAAAAGTAAGGTGACTGTATGATAGTTATGGACTTCGTCCGACCTGGTGCAGACTGGAGTCTGGCTAGTTTCGATGCAATGAATAATTTGTATTGGCCCACTACCCCACCGCCCGCTTAAAGTTCACCAGGTCTCTCAACTTCTTGGATGACTTGGATAATATCGTCACGTTGCACATCACCAAAACCTTGCAAGCCCATACCACATTCCGACCCTTTCCGAACCTCGGTGACATCCCTCTGCAGTACACGCAGAGTTTCCAAGGGCGCTAGAATAAACAGTCAGACAAGTGACACGCACAACTCTGCCATGCCATACCTTCAGAGATGATTTTGCCATTCCTAATAATCCTAGCCTTTTTGCCCTTTTCGATTACGCCGTCCGTGACTCGGCACCCAGCAACCTTCTGGACATGCTTTGATTTGACTTGTATGTCGAAGATTTGTAAAACGGTAGCCTCTCCTGTCACCTTGGCTTCGATGGTCGCTGGTAAGAGAGCAACCAGACGTTCTTTGATATCATCCACTAGTCGGTAGATGATAGTTGTGGAGTATATCGGGACTTGGTTCTGCGTAGCAATGGCCTGGATCGGCCTGGGGATATTGACAGAAAAGGCCACGACCATTCCTGATACATTTTAGCACACTCGGTATCAGCTTTTAGCGCGAACATAGGGTGGCTCACCTTCAACTGCCTTAGCCCTCATAACATCGGATTCGGTGACATCTCCAACGCCGGTACATACTACCTTAACCGCAGCTTTGTCGTTGCCAATCCCAGATATCGCACCCACCACGGCCTCCACACTCCCACTGACATCCGCCTTAATAACCAACCTTAACTCTTTAGGACCCTGTTTGTCATTCTGGACTGTCGGGTCCAGGCCTTGCTCCTCCAGCCCTCTTTCCTCCCTCTCGTGTCTCCGGTGTTCATTGATGACTTCCAGGTCCACTAAGGAAGACTCTATCTCCGCTTTCCTAATCCTATTCGCCACAGCCTTTTTGACATCATCTTCAGATCCTGACAATACGTCGTCCCCGGCGTTTGGAAGTTCCTTCCAACCGGAGACCACAACAGCCGTTCCCGGTGAAGCAGATTTCACAGATGAACCCGACGTTGACTGTAAAACCCGAACTTTGGCATGAGACCTGCCACTGATCAAATGGGTGCCACCTGTCAGAGTTCCTCGCGAGACCAATACTGTCGCGACGGGTCTGAGCGAATCGTGTCAGAAGTACGCTCAGGCTATGGGCTGCAAGCCGCTTACCCGAGACCTTTATGTATCTTGGATTCAAGGATGTAACCATGTACCTTGCCGTCAACTTCAGCGCGCAAGTCCTGAAGTTCCGCTACCGTTGAGATGGTCTCCACCAGGTCGGGCAGACCTTTGCCCGTGAGTCCAGATACTTGGACGACCGGTATATCTCCTCCAACGGTCTCTAGCTGCAGCCCTTCGGCCGCAAGTGCATTGCATGTCCTCTCCTATACGACACAATGAACATATGAGCGGTTATCACAGGAATGTACGCACAAAATTCGCTTGCGGCTTGTCCACTTTGTTGACGGCGACGACAACCCCGACGCTGTCCCTCTCTTTCTTGATCAATTCAATGACTTCCCTCGTTTGAGGCATTACACCGTCATCAGCAGCCACCACTAGGACGATAATGTCTGTCACCATAGCACCCCTGGCGCGCATCGCGGAGAACGCAGCATGTCCCGGGGTATCGAGAAAAGTCACAGTCCGATCTGGCCCGACGGGCACCGAAAAGGCGCCGATGTGTTGGGTGATTCCACCTGCTTCACTCTTGGCAACAGATGAAGAGCGAAGGGTGTCGAGGAGGGTGGTTTTCCCGTGGTCGACGTGACCCATTATAGTCACCACCGGAGGTCGTAGGGGAAGAGTTGCTGGTTCGGGATGGGGAGGGCTTGTTTCGAGGCCCATTAGCCCTTCATATATCGTGAACCAGAAAAACCCAACTCACGAAGGATAAATGTCGAAAGCCGCTTCGTCATTTACTACGGGATTCCGCCCGAACTCCATTACCAAGAGTGAAGCATAGTCGGCGGTGAGCACTATAGATGCATGAACAATGTTTCAATATGATAACCCGCCGAACTCACTATGGTCGGGGGTGGCTTCGGTTGCCATTCCAGCCTCCACCATTTTCCTCTGGAGAGTCCCTGCGTGATTGATGCATCAGACACACCGGGGGGAGGAGGGTTGAATGCAACAGTAACTACGTACCTATACGCACGTTAAGCAGTCTGGCGAGCGTCCCGACAGAAACGACACTCGGGACAAACAGGTCTACCAAGATTTTCTTGGTTACCTGCTTAGATCCAATCTTTCTCTTCTTTCTCTTCGCCATGTCCGCTTCTTGCTGAGTTCCGCCATGCCTGCTATGACTTGGGATAGCGGCATCTTCCTCAGAGAGATGGGCAAGTAAAGAGCCTCTGGATTTGCGATTCTCTCGTGCGACCCTACTTGCTCGAGTTCCACGAATCTCCTCTTCCGCGTCCGAGTAGAAGTCGTCGCTCACGGGCTCGGAGATCCCATCATTATCATCTATATCCTCGCTCACCGGTGGTCCTTGTGGTATACCCCGTACGGCACCCGCTTTATGTGGTGCGGGATCTCGGTCGAGATGAGGAGAAGCTCTAGAGCTCCGGCGGCTAAGCCCCACACCCTCAGCACGCCCCTCGCTCGGAACATAACCTCTTGGGATCCGCGCAGCTGACCTCTGATCAAGAGTGTTGAAGCTAACCCAACCACGAGTCCGAGAACTATCCCCATCAATTCTGTCACGACTGCTGTCTGTTTCCCTAGAGTTCATCGACTGTCTTCTGGTCTTTGACGGTCCCCCAGTTTGCGAACCAAGCGATGACTCTAGGACAGACTCCGGACGTGCCCATTTCCCCAGTCTCGCTGAGCCTGATCCCTGGCCAGCCTCCACAGAACCCAATTTCGGGCTGCTCCGCGACGTCTCCGCCTTGGACGACAGGTCAGACGGCGGTCGTGCCCATTTACTTAAGTTCTGTGATGGAACATGTTCTTTCTGCCTGGGAGATTCTGGAAAGACTGGCCGGGTCCATTTGGACGACGTAGTCGATGGACTCGGACTTGGCTCCGAAGGAGGCGGTTCCTTGAGCTACGGGAGAAATAAGAGCAAGCAAGTATCAGAAACAAAGGGGCTTGCCTTAGCTGCCGTGGATGCAAAGCAGCATTGTGAATTAGCACTTCCGGTCGCGGTGCGTCGACCTAGGATTGTAGTTGCTCGACGCATTTCGCCGAAAATATGTTTGCGAACTTCCAGCAATCGGAGAAACGATAGAGATCTTGCTTACAGCCGTTTTCCGAACGTAACGGTAAGGCGCGGCGTGACTTCTCGCACGTTCAACCCCGTTAAATATATATATGGTTTGTATGTGGGTGCCCCACGTACTTAAGGGGGAGCAAGCTCCCCCAATTAACACCGCCTAATTCACCGGTAATTTACCGGTCGGCCACACCTCGCAGGAAAATGTCAGGTGAAATAGGGTAAATTAGGAATAATTCATCCCAAATGCCTCCCACAAGTTCCCCTTGCTTTGTAGATGACCCTTGACCTACAGGGATAGCTCAACAGCCATATGAATGCATTTGTAGTGTCCTTATTATCAGTTCTCATGAAATGTACTAGTGAAAGCCTGCAGACTACCGGCAAATAAGAAACCGTGGCTCTCCTTTTTTCCACTCTGCTTCTTGTGCAGAGAGACATGGCTGACAATCGTCTGCATTCATTGCGAGAATATCTGGAACACCTACCGCAGACACTGCCTTGCCACAAGATGCAGACAATGGTGAGAATCATCGCACTCCGGAGAGGACTCTGAGTATGGTATGAGTGGACCTGAGGGCATTAATTTACAAGTCAAATAGACCTAATTTATTCAGTAAATTAATGGAAATTTGGTTGTTTTTGAATTGGTTAATTAACAGGTAAAACACAGAGTTGAATTAGCCCTCCCCTGTGGCACTTGGTTAATTAACACGGGAGATTAGGTCTGGGACCTTTTTCACTGAACACTGCTCACACGCCAAATGGCCTTCGGGCAAGAAAAATCTGTAGCAGCCGCATTTGGGCTCGGATGGTGCTTTGAATCTGTATATAGGGGTTTGTGATATAGAGGAAAAACATGGCATTGAAAGAATAAGGCTGTAAGGCCACACTTGTGTGGCAGGACCCACTACCTTGGCCATGAACTCATTTATTCATATGCTGGGTGAGCTTTCAATTGATAGAATTCAAGGTCTCTGTGCTTCATTGCAGTATAAGGCCTAAGCGAGAAATATGATTCAGGACATTTTATGTCCGACCTCGCCATACCTCGGATCTACCTGATCCAACCTCCGGTGGCCAAGCAGACCTTGATGTGGAACAGTACTTTTTGACTCATGCTCCATTTTGTCGAGTACATACAGTGTACAGTATATCTTACGGTGAGCCTGCCAGAGAGGCCCAGAGCGTGTGAAGCGAGGCCTAAGTGTGCGAAGGCAAGTCTGATCATGGGAATCTTCTATGTCATTTCTTTAGGGTAGGTCAGATCTTCGACAGATCTTGCAAAAATGGTGGGTGAGTTGATTACAGACTCGCTCTCAAAACCCACTACCCAAGGTAGCGGGAACAACGAAATTTGATGCAGGGGTGCTGTGAGGGGTAGCAAGCATGTACCAATGGAGGAATATTCAAGCTGTCAATCAGGGAACGGGTATTCTACCACCCTGGTACTTGGCATGCATACTCTACAGTATGGTACAAACATGTATAAAATTTTCTCGACCCATGCGTATAGCCGGGACTGAAGGGGAAGCTTGCTACTCCTCCTAAGGAGTGGTTTTCTTGTACATGCTCTCTAAAATCAAATATAATATCTAAATTTATGATAGGTATGTTGAATGCATGTATATATGTCCCTCTTTTAGTTCCAATACTCAGAAATGTGTTCTGTTACTGTGTTATGAATTGGCAGCCCTTGAGCTCTGGCCGAGCATTGACCGAGATGTGCTCACGCGGTCGTGAGTACTCATATGTCGCATGACATCACACTCCTGTGTTGGGTACAGCTCGGGGATCATTCAGTACACGACAGAAAATAAACAGCTGTCCAGTTGGGCGTATAAGTACAGTGCCAGACTGAGTATACTGCAGAGAGTCACTTGGCATACCTATCATAAATTTAGACACTGTATTTGATTTTGGAGAGCATGTACAAGAAAATCACTCCTTAGGAGGAGTAGCAAGCTTCCCCTTCAGTCCCGGCTAGATGCATGGGTGCAGCAAATTTTAGACATGTTTGTACCATACTGTAGAGTATGTGTGCCAAGTACCAGGGTGGTAGGATATCTGTTCCTTAATTGACAGCCTGAATACTCCTCCATTGGCAGTGATATATGGTCAGATGACTTGACTGCAAAGTCAGAAATGCAACTGTGGCAGAAAGTCTTCAGTCGGAAATCTGACCGTAAGTTGCGCAACTCTCCCACACAAGCACTACAGCAATCAGCCAAGAACCATCGACAGCCAATTATTTTTAGATGTCCTTAATCACCCTCTGATAATGATCTCGTTTCATCTGCATATCTCTACTGCTGCTCCTCCATCTTGTGCTGCAGTGTTCTGCCTTTCATTAGGACTCTACCCTACTTCACCCGACTCCTGCGGAAGATGTATTATATGAGTTACATGCAAGCACAATGTTGTCGAACTAACTTCATGAAGTTCCAGAAGACCACAATTGCACAACATGCATAGACCACCATGTAGATAGTGTCACATATAATAGACCTGCAAGAGTTCCCTTGACGCACCACTCATTCCCTCACCATGGCTCCCCCCGCCAAGCAGCGGGGTTGGTGGAGGGACCACTTCTACGATGATGGCGAGCATCCCGAATCTTAGCAGCGAGAGCGTTCTCACCTGACTGACCCTCGACAGAAGGCTCAGTACAGCGACGCTTCTCCTCCAAGATAGCATTGACGATGGTGGAGAGAGTGGTGGTCTTGTCGATCTTGATGCCGGCGACGAACTGGTTCCAGGAATCTGGGTCGCCAGGCTCAGATGGAAGAGTGGAAAGGAGAATGGCGGCAGTAACAAAAGCAGGGATGTCGAAGCCAGCGGTAGCGAGATGGCTGACAGCTTCTTGATAGGACGTAACGTGGGCGGCAGGGTCGCCATCCACGGGCATGGGCCGGATGAGTCGGCAGAACCACAAGATGAGTGATCCCGAGCCAGTCTGGCTGAACTCTGTGGAGAGGGCTGACCACATAAGATGCGACGTACCCAAGTTCGCAACCTAGGCAACGATGACATTGTCAATCGCATTCAAGAGCATTGCCTGAGCGGCGCTGTCCTTCGCGTCCCAATCCTCCTGGCCAGCCTTATTTGTATCTGGGGGACGCACCGTTGATATGCACTGACACACAACAATCACCAAGGACCAAAGGAAATAAACCTAAACCCCTTGATATGGGTGAAGGCGATCCGAGACAACTGAAGGGTATTTAATAGTTCGAGGGGGAAAGGAGGAGTAAGACGCCGTAGGGTAGTCCGTAGGAAGACCTAGAAAAATAAAACAAAACCTTGACGCCTGAAACAAACACTAAGGGACGCTCCGGAGTATTTATCTCCGGAAAGTCGCAGACAAAGTCGCAAACCACGAAACCGAGTGTAGGTTCGGGCCCACGGGAGTAGAAATTGCTAGAGAAACTTGGTTAATTTTATTTCGCTATGTGAGACTCACCGGAGCTAATTGGATCGATGGCGGAGATAATTCACTCGACGAGTCAGGCCTATTGGCAAAGCTAAGATCGGTTATAATTCGCTAAGTTCGACGCTTTCGAACTTCTCGGGTCGCTGAGATCGTAACTCTAATTCTCTGAGATGGTGAAGTCGAAACTTATTTTTCTGTATGCTACTTTGTACAATTTATACTACAGGAATGGCTTTGCGACCGTTCGGAGATAAATAACAAATAAACGCCGCTACCCACAGGATTGCTCAGCACTTTCCTCCGCTATACCATATACCATACGACTCTCTTGCGCTCCCACTTGCTCTTTCCAGCCCCTATAGGT